CACCCATTTTATCTCAAATGAGGACGCAAGGGGTAAACAGCGTTTAGGTGTAGAAACGATGGCCAAAGTATCATTCTTACGCCTCATGACAACCAAGGTAAAGAATAGTTCATTAAGAATCCATTCCCTTTTGATATTTGAAAATTTCTCAAATATAGAGTAGTGATCATTAAGGCTCTTATTTGAATTAAAATTATTTTTTTAAAGGCTCAAATGGGAGAGCAAATGATAAAATCTGTATAGATAGAGAAACGAATGCTCGAAGCATCATTCCAAATTTTCAGAACAAACAAGAATAATGTACATTTTTGCTTTCACTTAGATGTGATTGAATCTGGTTAGACCAGTGAGCATTTTTTCAAACAAAGATTGCCCCAATTTGCGGTTTGTCAATCAATGTGACTGATTTTGGGGGTTAATAGAAGTGCACAAAATATGAATTGTATAGTGAAAGAGAAAAGGTATTGCATTAGATCTTTCGAGACAGACCAGTCAGTTGGAGTGATCTCTTTTAATTTCGAACACTCTTATTGTATAGCTCAGATCACCAATCTAGTGTGAATTTTCAGGCAAAATGTTGAAAAATCTCAATTTGGTCTTATTTCTAAAAATTCATCATTAAATCTCTCAATGAGCAAAAGAATGAAATGTACATGAATATATACAAAACGATAAAAGCTTCATTATTGCAAATGTTTGAAAAATTTTCTTTCAAATATAATACATATGAGAAAAGAAAAATTCTAAAGAAGTCCTTTACACATGTATACACACTTTTCTCTCTTAATAGCTCTTTTTTTTTTGAGCAACTAAATCATGAAATCTCTTAAATGTTTTACACGAGCGCTTTCAGATGAATTCTTCAAATTTACATTGTAGGGTCTGTTCAAGAATCAAGTAATACTTGTAATTTTCAAAATTCATTAGACCAAAACTATTATCAGATATTGAGAAATATTTTCACCTTATTGAAACCTTTTCTATAAATGTAGGGAAGGGGAAAAAATAAAAGAAAAAATACCCAGAGTTAGTAAGCAAAATTGTAAAATCGGTATACATGTCCTATGGGGGGATCCTTTTATGCCAAGGGTTGGCCTAGCATGAAAATGCAATCTTTCAGAGCAGGCACTATACCATACCTGATAGATCCGATCAACTCATTGATATTTGAGTAAAAATAATTTGAAAAATTGGTCAATTAGAGTGAGAAGAGACATTTTTTCAACAGAACTAGGACCAAATCCAAATAGATTAATTGCTTTGATTAACACATACACTGATGTGACAGAGCCATGTCTTGACTACGTTTTCAGTGAACTTTTAAGATCAAAACCCTAAAAGAGGATAGACGGGTCCAACGGATCGAATGAAATTGATGAATTTTACTGGATTGCCCTAAAAAAAATGGATACTGTGGCGACCCCACTTCTCCCTAAGGCGAACCAAAGGGTTGGCGGGCCGCCTGCCCAACTCTCGCCAGGACTCACGTAAGCATTCTAACCCAAATCCTTTCGAAGAATAACCTAATCTATTACAAAACAATTTCCCGAAGAAGACCGTCACTAAAACCACATTAACTTCAGAGATAGCAGTGATTTAAAATAGCCAATTGAAACTCTAAAACGTCCCACGTGCTACAAACCAAGGTATAAAGTCGTACCAATCCGGATAGATAATTACATACATCACTACTACAAACTTACAAGCCAAACGCTCGAATTAGGGTTTACACATTTTCCAGTTTCAAGTGGCAATCCAAAATAAAAGTACATTATCCAAATTAACGCATTACAGCCCACAAAAATAAGTCATAGCATTCAAATGCATTCCAAAAGGAAAACATGAGTAAGTTTCAAAGCTTTCAATTTCCAGCACCTGTTAAGGAAAACAAATAAACGTGGGGTGAGCTAAATCTCAGTGGTGCCCCAAAGCATGCAATCACATAAGGCAAGTAACGAGTATGAATTTCAATAATTAAGAAAGCGTATAACAGCACAGAGTAGGATACAGGGGCTCTCAGGAGCCAAATTCCTCGCTTGATCTGAAACCACCGTAGTTGACCCTCCGTCAACTCTCACTACTTATGATCCATGTAGAGTATCTCATTTTGTTTCCTAACCCGTCACCGTTCATACCCCTGTCCCGGGCCCGCACATCAACTAAGGGAGCAGTATACTTGAGATATACCCTCAGAAAATTAGGAGCAGTATACTTGCGTATACCCTCAGAACTTTGGTCGAGGGATTCACCCAGCGACGTCACAACACATGGATTCACTAAAACATTTCACGCAAATCACCACTCGAACGGCTAGTGTGATAAAGTACACACTGCTCGCTTCGATGGATCAGAAACCATTTTTACAATTACCACATATCAAGTCAAGGAAGCACTTTATTCAAGTAGGCATAGAACAAGCAGGGACACTCACCAAGAGTGAAGTTCAGATGTCAAATTGGGAATCGAATTCCGCGTCCTCGCAATATCCTAGAATACCAAATTTTGAAACTATAAGTTTCTATTCAGTTTTTAAGCTTATGCACATCGAGGTTTATCTAATATATTACTAGTTTACTTTCTCAAGAAATTTCAAAAATCTACTTAGGTTGAAACTTGACAAAAGTAGTAAAAATGTTTCTTATAGTTTTCCTTGAGATACTTTTCCTTAGAAAAGGGTAACTAGTATTATTTTCTTGAAACAATTCGACCATCCACTTAGGATTGAAATTTTGTAAAAGTAGGAAATGTTTTATATGGCTTTCCTTAAAAATATTTTTCTTTATACGAGTGCGGTTAGTACTATTTTATTTAGAATAAATTTTCCTTGCCGAGGAAGTTTTCTGCTATTTTTAGTTAAAGTCACTAAAATCTTGTATTTTGGAAATTTTCCTCTAGACAATTAGCCAGGGACAATTTTAAGGAAAGAAAAGGAAATAGATCAAGACTTAGGGTTTTAAAACTAGTGAAATCATTTTCTAAAAGTAATAAGACTAGTTTACGCTTAAAGGAGAAATATCGAGTTGGCAAGGTTCAGAAAATCCCTACACGAAATTTCTAACTTTAACATTCAGTGCTAAGTTTTATCGTACCATACTAGAGTGAAGATATATTTAAATAACTTGCTTAAAAACTTCTCAGGTTCACAGGACCAAAATGGATTCCTTACAATTCCGATTTACAAGCACATAATATTTCAGATTTGTCAATATAACCAACTCACATTTCAAATAGAAATCTCACTAGGGCTTCGTCAATCATTAGCCCTAGGTTTCAACAGATTCAATTCTGATCAAGAATAAAACGAATGACCAAGGCTTCGTCAATCATTAGCACTTGATTTTGGCAAGCTCATATCACATCTTAACTAAAACAAAATGAAGGTAAGGCCTCCAAGAAATTCCAGCAATTAAATTTCATCACCCTTTAATACTTATAAAATCATTCAAATGGCCAAGGGCTTCATCAATCATTAGCCCTTGACAACCATCAATCACTTCCAACCACAATTCAATCAGGAATTCAAATCACAAATAAGCTAAATGTTTGATCCAAGTCAAAATTCAGTTTCATGAAGAAACAGGACATTCAAGCAGGACAGCCTACTTTGAGGAGTCACGGACAGCAGTACATATGGAGGAAAAATATAAAATTTCTACAGAACAAAGGCCCATGATTCTAGTTTTAAATGCCACTGACGGTACCTTAAACGGATTTTCCTACACCAAGATATAAGCATTTTTCTGAGACTGGTCAGTGAAATCCGAAAATCTGAAGACTCATTTTTCACTTGTGAAAAACTCTTTTTTCTCTTTTAACACCATAAGGTTTTTATTCAAACCATCCATACATTTCTTATAGAACCCTAAAACAACATATTCCTGGCATTTCCAACCATTATGTTTCAAAGAAAAATTTCAAAACCAAGCTGAGGTTCCAATTCAACCTTCGGCTATCACAAAAGAAATTCCAGCATTTATGTATCAACATTTTTGGTTCAATCTTTCAATATACCCAATATTTCATTGCCAAACAACTTAAAATTTACATCTCTTATGTATTACTAAACCATTATATTCCAAGGGAAAAATAAAATAAATTTCCAGAAACCAATTAAAATTTCCAAAGACAAACTGAAAATTCTGGTTCATACCCCTCGGCTATCAATACTTTTCCAGCACTTAGGGTTTTATAAATCCAACTTTTCCTTGGCTAAAACATGGTTTTAGATTCTCAAATTCGTCATGTGAACCTTTGGCTAGCTAATTAACATTTCTGGTTCAAAATCGAATTCGAATAACAGCTTCAAACATCCCAAAAATCCAGAAATTGTATGTTCTTAATCTAGCTTTTTCCTTGGCTAAATCAGCATTTTAGGAACTCCAATTCAACATGCAAAGCCTTAATCGTATTAATCATCCAAGTTTAAGTTAACTAATCATAATCTCAGGTTTTGATCATCACAACAAAGCAGATTACATCATGAAATTCTTAATCAATTCTCGGTCAACCATTTTCTTTTCAAAACAGAATTTTCTTATGCCTTAACATCATCATCCGAGTCTAGATTCCACATGCAACACCCTAATCAACTTAATCTTTCACTTTTTAGTTAACTAATCATAATCTCAACCTCAGGTTATCAAAATTGGACAGATTAGAAACTGCAATACCTTGTTAATCTCTCGGCCGAACCATTTAGCCATCCAGTCAGATTTTTTTCTTTTTCTAATGTCTCATCCGATGGTTTAAAATCAACATGCAAAGCTGGAACTAACTTATTCATCTTGTCTTAAGTTAGGGAGACACATCTTTAAGTTCAGATTGTCACAGGGAAGCAAAAATAAAGCTACATTTCCAAACCAGTTCCTCGGCAAAAACATTTTCATCAAAACAGAATTTTCTAGTGTCTTGAATTCATCAACCGATTGAACAAGCAACACATGCAGGCTCTGATATGTCTTTATCTATTAGTAATTAACCTAATTTAGCCCAGCAATTACCTCAGATACAAGCTAAGCCTACACACAAGAAGTCTGGAATTTCTTTCTTCCTCTCGGCCCTCACGCACGGCTTCGAGGGTTGGTTGCGGTTGCAGTGGTTGCGGCTGAGAACTGGTTGCAGCTGGTGGAGATGGAGGTGCAGAATGGTGAAGCTCACTCACGATTTTCGGTTTCACGCTCATGGCAGAACCAGAAAATTTTGCGGCTCACGGCTTCTTCCCTCGGTTCCTCTTTGTCGATGATAACAAGACAAAGGGGAAATGTGGTTGTGGAGAGGAAGTGTTGTGGTCTGAGGGAATTTGTGCAGAGGAAATGGAATGGTGGTTTGTGATATAGGAACGAAGAGGTAGAGATATGGTGCCGCGGTTTTGGAGAAGGGTTTGAGTGTAGGAAATGGTTGCGTATAGAATTGGTGAAAATGTGATTGGCCGATTGGGGCGGTGATTGAAATGCTGTCAGAGGGATTGTTTGGTTTTGCATGGAAATGTTGTGGTTGTAAGGCATTTTAGTCTTTTCACTTTGCTTCCTAACCTCTACTTAAATTCTCCATTCTAATCTTAAAACCAAAAATTATCCCCAAGTGTGATTTGAACGCCTAATTATACACTAGTATACTTAAACCATTTTTTTATCGAATATCTATCGATTAAAAATTTAATATTAAGGTTCCTAACATTATTTAGCGATTAGATTAGTTATCAGAATTTTCAATTATTTATTCTCAAGAGATAGAGTTAGTCTAAGTCGAAATTTATCAATTTAGTAATATAACGTCAAATGAAATAATAATTTAATACAAGTGTGTCAGTTTGCACATAAAAATTATTTTTACGCACTTATTGTGAAAACAAAGAAGGATAAGACTATAATTATCAAAATTTCATAACTTAGAAAAATTATATTATTTTTCACATAAACCTATTTTTACGTACTTAATTGCGAACAAGTAAAAGTAATGCTAGAAATTATTAAGGAATAAAAGAAATGTAAATGAAATATGCACTGGCTTATATATCTATTTTCAGGGTTCTCACAGATACGTTTGATCAAATGGATTGAATGAATTTGAAGATTTATTAAAAAATAACTAGATCACCCTAAAAAAGGTAAACTGGTCAAATAAATTGAATGAAATTTGATAACTTATTCACAAATTGACTTGATCACCCTAAAAAGGCAAATTGGTCAAAAGAATTGAAATTGATAATTTAGTCAAAAATGATTGAATCGCCCTAAAAAATGTGCAAATGGTCGAATAAATTGAATTAAATCAAGTACACTAATTAAATGAATCGATAATTTTTCAAAATTGAATAGACTCCCTAAAAAATGAATAAACTAATCAAATGAATTGAATGAACTTGATGATGAATTGAGTTAATGATTTATTTTTTTTAAAAAAATGGATTGGATGAATTAGATGGTTTATTTGAAAATCAATTGAATTGTCTACCCATTGGTAGTTTCAAAGAATTATTGCGATGCATTAGTCTATGACCCTTCTAAAATCAAAATTTGCCTTGATATATTGTCTCAATCAATGAAGAATTATTTGTGAATTTTTAAATTAATGTCCTTTAAGCAAGGGATTTTTACCAATTCTGATAAAATGGCCAAAAGATGATTGTTAGATGTTCATATTCTAATGTACCAAAGATCGCTCCAGGGCATGGAAAGGATCGGATCCCACCTTACCTTGTGTACTACCTCTTTAGATGGTACAAAAATATAAACGTGCAAGTCTTCTTGGATTAAGTATCCGAGACACAGGGCGATTTATTCCTAACGTGGATCCTCTAAATGGCATTCCAATTTTAGGGTTTATGCATGATGCCATTTATCAAAGCGAATAAATATGCAGTACACAAATGAAACATGACCTAAAGGAACCCTTTTGTATGCCGGGGTGAGCCTAAAATGAAATGTATTCATGCTACAAAGCGAAACATTGAATTTAACGTGTCACATCAAATAGGGTAGGCTCCTAGAGAGTACCATGTCAGGACTCTATTTTCTAGGACTTATGAGTGTAATGGAGACAAAAACCAAGAAAAGTTAGTTCAATCAGATAAATACACATAACACATTGTAGAAAAGCAATACAAAGAGATAAAGCAATAAAAAGAAAAGAGGGGTTGGGTCCTCCCTCGTGAATAGTGTCCCTAATAGGGTAAGGCAGACTCTACCCTAGGTAAACTATCATGGATGCATGAGGTATTGGCTCACTAATGCATCTAGACTCGATAGGTTTTAGGTCCCCGAGCCTTCAGACTCGGAAACCAAAGGTCATCAATCCAAGATTCTTTGTCGGTGGCTCGAGCGATTCCCTAGACACTGCTACGCACACATCGTGTCACGGCTACATGTCTGAGTGAATCTATCAAAAATCCTCAACTTTCGACTAAAAGCTAAAGGCTATCAACCCAAAGCTTAAAATGGAAGATTGAGTGACCCCTCGGATCATGCTACGCACACATCGTGTCGCAATCACACGTCCAAGTGGTCGCCTAATCTAATAGAGAAGAGTGGCGTGACAAGCCACTAAAAAATAATAAACGAGGGATAAAAAATAAAGCGTATGCACGTATGCTAGTGCACCGTTTGGAGGGGAGGAATCGAGAACAACGCGAGGCTCTTGGGTAATATCCCCCACCCAAATGCATACAAAGCGCGGGATCACATAAATAAACCATCCATCCATCAAATCAAATCATACGCAAATGAGGGAGTGAGTTGATACACACGAAATGCAAAAATCCTAAAAAAAAAAAAAATGCAACCCTAAACGTCCAAATGCGATACATGAAAAGGGTAAAAAAAAAAGAATAACTAAATCAAGTGCTCGGACCCGCTTAGGAAGTCCCCAGTGGAGTCGCCAACTGTCGCGCCCCATTTTTTGAGAAAAAGGAAAATAAAGTTGTTTGAAATTATAATGCATAGTGTATATGAAATGTGTGAAGTGTGTGAATGTGAGAAATAAAGGGAAAGGCCATGGGACTTTTTAAATGCAACGGTTTAGCCAAATGATAATTGAAAAGGTTTTTAAACATAAAAGTAGGTCGCTACTTGGTATTGAGTTGGGGTGTATCAAGTCACCCAAAAAGTAGTTTTTGAAAAAATGAAGCAAAACCTTTTTAGATAACTCATAGTCTACGAAAATCAAAGAGACAAGTTCGGGGTCACGGTTGATAAAAGGGAAGGCAAAGATAAAGTCTAAGGCACCCTTTTACCCTAACCTAAGCTAGTTGCGTGATTGAGTGACAATTTTCCTATTTCTACCCAAAAGATGTATTGCATTTTGGATGCGTCAAACATGAATGCAAACCTAAATCTAATGAGTGGTTTGAAAGGGATAAAATGTCTCTTTAGAGGCTCGATTGGTCCTAATCACTGATTGTGATAGCCAATGGGGAACCCTCAAAGAGGTCACGAATAAATGCAAATGAATGCTCGAGTAATAATGAGGAAAAATGAGTGTGTGCGAAAAATGTCTTTGAGTGTAAAAACGAGTGCCAGGTGCAAGTGTGCAAAGTGCAAGTGTGCAAATGGGTGTGTAAAGTGCAAGGGTGCAAATGAGTATGAAAAGTGCACGTGTACAAATGTGAGAGAGTGTAAAGTGATAGTGTGAAGAGTGAGAATGTATAAAGTGATAGTGTGTGAAGCGAAAATGTGAAAAGTGGTAGTGTGAAAAGTGAAAATATGTAATGTGCTTTGGAAATGCATGAGCCTTAGAGGAATGCAAGTAAGACGGGTACGGGGAGACCCTAAATCATGACTTTTGATTTGCCTTTTGGTTAGAAAGAAAACAAGCGTGCTAAGGCTATGTGTAGCCAAACACGTCTGTTTCCCTTACCAGAAGGGTGACTCTCTAACCTAATCAAGCAGATGATCCTAATAGCTAGAATGAAATGCGAAATCCTAAAGATCGTGTTTCAAATGCGGGAAAAGGGTAGAGGTTCATGCAAAAACGTAAAAATGCTAAAAAGAAAAAATGAATGAAATGTGAAGGCATACTAGTATGTACTAGCGAGAAGCGGCCCTATTGGGTCTAGTATTGGACTAGCCTTTACTAACACTCTCTCACAAGCATTGGACTTGTGAGACCTCGAGAGGAAGACCATGACTAGCATTGGACTAGCCATAATAACGTGCATTCCATCCACATAATCAAATATAATACTAAAAGCAAATAGACATGCAAGGCACATATTTTCACATAGCACGTAGCACATAAGCATGCTTGTCTAGATGCAGAAACCTAGGGAAAGCAGTAGCACATAGCACATAAGCATGCAAGACACACGAACAAACAAACCCTAACTATTACATTTGGGGGGGGCCTACTACAATCTAGAAGGTGGAAATGAATAAATAATTAAAATAAATACCTAACTATTACAAATTTGGCATTCAAGTGCCTTTCAAATGATCAAAATTGAACTAAAATAAATATACAAAACTAAAGCCAATAAATAAGTAAATAAAATAATAAATATAAAACACTTTCAATAGGTATGCAATTAAACACATAAAGTCACATAGGGCACGTAGCGTCAAATAAAGTGAAAGAAAAGGGATAAGGTGTACCTCCCTGAAGTTGGAGCTCTAATGACACGAATTCACTTATTTACTCTCCAAAATAATAAAAAAAGTCAAGGCATCACTTTAATTAAGAAATAATCACATGAAATGGGAATAAGCGTGAAATTGAATCAATCAAAGGCAATTAAAAGGAGGCAAACAACCCATGTTTAAGAAATTAAAACTAGTAGAGGCTTGTAAAAGTCAAAGAATTTCGGGGTCAATTTATTGAATATTAGGGGTCTAAAAGGAATGAAATTAAAATTAATGGCTTAAGAGAAAAGCTACCAATCAAATAACAAAACTCACAAAAATAAATGAAAAACTATTTGCCATGATTGAACAACAAAAATGCCAAAATTCCAAAAATCAAATTAACTATAAATCTAGAAAAAGTTATTAGACCCTTCAAATTCAGCCTACAACTCCTTAAGAATCTACCCAAAAACAAGTCAAGACATATTAAAGAGAAAATGGCATGTTAAGTTGACAAAATTGATTAACTTTTACGATTTTATGGGCCATAGCAGCATTAAGCAAGTATTAGGGGTCAAAATAAAATTTTAAAAACATTTCCCATGCAAGCATGCAAAGCTACGAA